AATTTCTGGATACGATAGGAATGGCATTGAAACTTCTGCATGACATTCTTCCATCGCGATACCTTCGATAAGCCATGCCCGTTGACTTCCTTTTGATGGGTCACCCAGGATCCCGACCGATTGTCCATACGGTCCATTTTAATAGTCCTATTTTCAGAAATATTCCACCTTCCTATCTTTCCTAGTTTGTCTCTGATTCAATCTTCTTTTTATATCGTTTAATAGCCTCCTATACGGTTATTAGAAGAATCCCAAAGAATCTCATAACGCCCTTCCACTCGCGCGTCAACGATTGCAAGTGGCATTGAATGAGCCTCCTCCATCTGAAAGATAATGGGAGTTCCACATCAGCAACCATGCATATTGCGAGGAAACCTTCTTATGCAACTAATTAATAACAGGTAATGTGAATTTGATAGACTATTCCTACCTTAAAAATTACTGAACTTTGGCGCAAATAATTTTGGGACACCCTGTATAAGGCTCCACGCGCATTTACGTTCTTTTTGCCCCGCCCTGAAACTTAATTGTCTGCATTTGTATAGCGCGGGTGGGTCGTGACTAACATAAAGCGCCCTCCAAATAGGAGCACGAGTTCTGACTGCTGTATTGAGCGTGGTCGTTAATATCAAAGTGACCGCGCACAAGATTCGCGTTTTGCTGTGTACGGGCACCGACAGGTGGTTGAATATGAACCTACCTTCAATTTTCGTCCTTAACTTATTAGTAACGGCACGTTGTTTTCACTCGAGCTACTTATAACTACGCCTCCTTTAAGGTATGTCCGAGTGCCGCTCTACCGGACAACGAAATCATGGACTGGTGTCAGATCATTCGCAAAAATCACCTTGACATTGTTCAAGTGGTACGATTTAGATGAACGTTGCTTGAATTGATGTGCCATTATTGCATTCTTGCGGAAAGCGTATTACCGCGTGCATCGTTTTTATACCTTAGTGTAAAAATTCTTTATTTTGCGCAATGGCATTAGATTCAATGGGAAGTATCACAACTTTAATCCAGCACTGACAAGGGAAGGATCCCAAGTCGAAGTGGCCATTTGAGATGAGACCTACACTGCTAGACGTATTTATTGGTGCTGATTTCGAAT